ACATAATGATTCTTGAAGAATATAAATTTAGGTTCGTATACATGATCAAAACCCAAACCCAGAGGTTCCAGACCAATTGACATAGTAGTCATAACAAGAATAAGTCGGGCCATTAACGAATATTCAAAGTTCAACGTTTTAAACAAGAAGATGCAACATCTCTTTGCTAGTCAATTCATTCAATACAATATAGGTGGGTAAGCAACTATAACAATATAACATGGTGGTGTTCTTCGTTTCTCTTTGTTCTGCTTACAAGACCACCAAAAGTATCTTTATGAAGATGACTGTAAGTTAGTGGAAACTTGATGAGGCTGACCAAACAGTTGCAGTGCTTTATATTCTTGCATCCTGTTTGTACTGAAGACACTCTGCGAACTCATCTTCTTCTACGCATAACATGTAGCATGCAACCAAAGAAATTTTGTTAGTCCATAATCTTCTAATAAAATTCTCTCAAATGAAGGTATATTAAACAATTCAAATTAATCTATTTCTGTCCCCTAAAGTCGTGTATATGAAAATGCTGGCCCAAATTCTGAAGACATAATGTCATGACTTCTCTTATGTTTTGTGATTAATTAACTTCTTTTTGTACTTGAGCTCATTTCAGTTCAAATATTGTTTTTAGGAGGTATATGCTTCGATCTTTTTAAAGAAGTGAATTTGATTTCATGGTTTAAATGGTGGACCATATGTATCCTCTCTTTTTTTTCTATTGAGAAGTAGGGATCGTTGATGCCATTCTTTAAGGACAGCTTGATTTTTCAGCTGATATATGGCCAAAGATCTTGTGAAGAAAATGTTCTCAAAGCGAAGCTTTTAGCTGTTGAAAAGCTAAGAAACAGTAGACAGAGAACCTATCTCATCGGCCTGAAATCGATGATCAAATCTCTAGACACTGATAACAATGGCATAGTCACCTTAGTCTCCACAAACTTGGTTCTAACTTCTAAGATATAAAAACAGTTAGCTGAAGCCGTAAGTCTCTATCACATCGCTATTTTGACGTCGAATTTGTGTGTTTCCCCTCGCTAAAACCAAAACTGAGAAAAAGCATATTGTTTTTGTTTAGAGTCTGTCAGACTTAACAGGTCTAAAAGTCACAAATCCTCATTTTGGTCGGTTTAACGATCCACAGAAACACATAAAAAAAAACATATCTAGTGTGTTCGCGTATGACATGTAAAACCAAGAACTCTGTTTACATCTCCGACGTTTTCATGAAACACCTATTTTAAGCGATTCGGGTAACTACAGCATGGATGGCATCAGCGAGTCGAGGAACTGTCTTGGAACTTAGACCTCCAATGCTTATCCTCCTGCAATGTACAATTATCATTTTAAATCTACATAAATCTGCTTTATTTCTAGCTAATAACCCTCTTAATTAAAACTAAAACATTTTAAGAGAAATATAATTTCCCTTACCCATCATAGGTCATGTAAATGTGATGCTCTTTGGCCATCAACCGAACTTGCTTCTCATTCAGTCCGGTAAAACTAAACATCCCAATCTGTTTGATAATGTGACTCCAATCACCAGGTGTGCCTACAATAAGAACAAATTAAAGTGCTACAAATCACAACTTATGAAATGATTTAACAAACAAAATTTGAGGAAAATAATAACATTAAACCAAACCTCTAGCTTGTAAAGCTTCATATAACTCTTGACGCATGCTAAGTATACGGTCAACCATTCCTTTCAGCTCAATGGTCCAATCCTTGTACATATCACTGCCAAAGAGTTTGTGTATATACATATACACTTTGAGCATAATCAAAATTCATATAAAACCAATACTTGCAACTTAGTGGTTTGTGTTAGTGTTGTCTTGCGTCACCATGTTCAAACTCGTTATAAGCAAATAAAAAAATCC